GACTGCCTTCCCCATTGTTTTTTAGATCAAATAATGATTCTTGAAATCTAAGAAATTTCCTTGAGTCTGAAAATACTCAGGATATTTTTGTCTTCGTATGTGTCGTTAATTTAGTATTGACAGTGCAGTGTGTGAGGAAAAGTACGCACTTACTAGAAGGAAATTTTGAGATTCTGAAACCTGAATTCGATTAAGCTTTAACTATGTCACTTTACTGTTTAATACCTTATGGTTTTTCTCAACTCGATGTTAGATATTCCATTTAAACTTTTATATAATCTTCAATCAGTGCCTTCACTCCTTAACAAATGGACTACATTTATTTGCTGATGACTTAAGTGGTCTGTAAATGTTAAGTTGCAGGGAAATTTACCGGTGAAGGTATTCTTTTTGCATCAATAGACTGACGTTTTGCTAATCTCTTATTTTATGATGAGCATGAGGGGACTTGTGATATGCGTTTATCTCACTGTCTGTGTTTCAAGTGAAATATAGTGTTTCAAAGTTTGAAGTTCGGGATCGCCAGCTTCACTTAATCTTCTTCCGTTTTTACAGGCATACTAACACCTAGAGAGCCGGATGAGGGTATGAACAGAGTCCGTTGAGAACCGATTGCGGACCACCTACAGGGTTAGCAGGCATCTTACCACTGAACAACAGACACCACAGAGAAGAACTCCAGATATAAGTCCAGCTATATGAGTAACTGGCATGTATTTCAATTACATCGGAAACTGAATACTTAACCTTTTACTTTTTATACTCTTTTCAGTTAAACTTTATTTCTACCCACAAAACATTTGTTGGACTCTATCCTTTTGTTTCAAGCTTAGTCCTGCAATTCTTCTATAAACAGTCGATCTTTTTCACTCTTAATTATTCAACCACTTGTATTACTCCTGACCGGTCTTACTCTCAGTTCCATTCAGTTACTGATTGTCATTCTAAAAAAGTATGCTCACATCTTTAATTGAAGTTATAATTTTGGTGTTGTTTAGGTTGTGACCGGTTGAGAAGAATCCACGGAATAATAAAAATAAATACATTAGGTAGTAATATATTGTACTTGGAATATTAGTATTTCGAGATGACCGAATTACAAGAATCCAAACAAAACACAGAGAGGGCAGAATTCAGGAATTTGTATTTAGCGGAATTATTATGCAATTCATATAAGAAACATATCAACAGTCAACAGTAAGTATTTAAACAATACAGAGATAAAAATTGTCAATCACCACAATTAGCTCATATTATCTTGTTACATTTGACGTTATGCTTTATTCAAATTTAATAATGGGAAGAATTGTATGAAGTCTTCCCTTTTGTTGTTAATACTGGAAAATTGGGATGCATTCATGTACTTACAGTAAACGTTCTGAGTTATCATTTTACAGGAAGTTTCTCTTAGAATAATTATTTTATTATTATTTGTTTCCTTTAATTCCTAGAGGAACATGGGGATTCAGCCGCACGTCTCCAATGCGTTCGGTTTTCTGCTAACGTTTTCACCTTTCTCCATGTCTGCCCACATGCTTTCATCTCCTCTTCACATGACCTCCTCCAAGTCACCCTTGTTCTGACGACCAGCTTGCAGCCTACTATTTGAGTTCTACTCGAATGCCTTTCTTGTGATGGCACTTGATGGTTTCCTCACACTATGGCCAATACACCTTCATTTCTTCCTGCTTATTTGTTGCACAATCGGTTCCTGGTTGGTACGCTCCCAGAGATCTCTGCTGATGATTTTTTCTGGCCATTTGATCTTGAGCGTTGAGCAAAGACAGTTGGAGTTAAAAATTCGGATCTTATTTTTCATGCTGAGTGGTGAGTGTTGACCTCCTTAAGACTTGAAAGTAATGAGAGCTTGCCTTGTTTTCCCGATCCTTGCTTTGCTATTCTCGTTAGTTCCGCCTGTAGTTGAAACTACGCTTCCTAGGTGGGTAAAGGAGGTTGCTTCTTTCAGATTTCTCCCATTTACCCTGATTGTTGTCTGTTGTTGATGTTGCTGTTGGCCAGGAATCTTCATCACAACATCTGTTTTCTCTATGTTCACCTGAAGTCCTATCTTCTCTGGATGCTTCTTCTGCCGACTTGTTGCATTTCACTTGCATATCTTCCATTTTGTAGGAAATCAGGAAAATATCATCGGTGAAGTCCTCCAAGTTTTGTGTGAGTCCATTTTATGCCTGTTTCCTCGCTGCCCGCTGTCTGTCGCATTATCCAATCTACCACAATCAGGAAAATCATTGGAGATAGTAGGCAACCAGCCTCGTCTTACTCCCGTCTTCACACCAAAGGATTCCGTAAGTTTCCCGTAGTGGATTACTTGATGGGCAATACTATCGTACAACTGTTGGATGAGATGTATAACTGTTGGCAGCACCCTGTAGTAGCTAAGTAGTTGTCAAATCACCTTTCGATCGGTGGTGTCTGCCTAAGGCCTTTTCAAAGTCAATGAAGTTTAGGTAGAGTTAGAGAGCTGACTGCCATTGCAAGCTCTGTTCATTGATGATACGTAGAGTTGCGATTTGATCGATGCATTATTTGTTCCTCCTGAATCCAACCTGTTGCTGTCGAAGTTTCTCATCCAGGGCGTGTTTGATTCTCTTCTGGATGATGTGGCTTAGTATTTCACTTGAGATGGACAGGAGTTTAATGCCGCGCCAGTTCTTGCATTGACTTAAGTCTCCTTTCTTTGGCAGTTTTAATAAGTAGACCTTCGAATCCTCAGGTACCTTGGCCTCATTCCACACCTTATCCAGTAGCGTTGTAATCAAATCTGCTGATGTCAATGGGCCCATTTACAATGCCTCTGTTGGAATTCTGTTTGGTCATGCTGCTTCTCCAGTTTTTAGCATCTTTACTGCCTTCAGGATTTCTGTTCTCTTCGGAGGGCTTGTTTAAACTGACTCACCCACGGTGATCCACGTTTTACCTTTTGACTTGTGAGTCTTCCTTACGTTCATAGGTTCGCTCTCTTGTTGTGCTCTTCAGCACACCTCGAGCTACCTCCAGCAACGTCTGCAGATAAGTTGTACGACTTCTTTATTTATTGATTTTTATTCGTTGAATGTAAGAGTTCTACTACGGCTTAGAGTGGCCTATACTCTAAACACCCTTACAAACTTCTTCACCGTTTTGCGACCTACTAAGCTTAGCAGTACACTACTGGACGCGCAAATACTGACGAACTGTATCGTTGTAAAAAGACTTGATGTGACAAGAGTACCTGGGAGAATTATATTTTATTCAACGAAATATAAAATTCAATAAATAAAGAAGTCGTACAACTTATCTGCAGACGTTGCTGGAGGTAGGCTCGGAGAGTGTGCTGAAAGAGAGCACAACAAGAGAGCGAACCTATGAACGTAAGGAAGACTCACAAGTCAAAAGGTAAAACGTGGATCACCGTGGGTGAGTCAGTTTAAACAAAAGTTCAAAGGTACAATGTGCACTACAGATGGCCACTGGTAGTACAGTATTTCGTTGGTATGTATGCAGAAATCTAAAGTATTCATCCTGATAGTTTCATTCCCTGGCAGCCTGCGTAGGTCATTGGACTACCTAATTTCTCATTGAATGTAATTTATCAATTTTAGTTGATTTCATTTTGTTTCAGTCATCTTACTTAGTTGTTGAAGAACATTATGTACTTAAATGCATTTTTAATGACTTCCACTACACCCATCGGTTTGTTTTGAAGGGGCAAAAGAGTTAGGGTTTGTGGCATGCTTCAGACTGCACAATATTGCGTCAAATCAGATACTGTGGATCACTGCCTTACTTAAAAATTCTGAATATGGAGCAGATAAAAAGCATGCTGGAAGTTCTGTACTGTGTATACACGTATTACTCAGAATAAAGCTATACTTATTATTTGTTTCACTAACTGATTTTAAACTGAATATTTTAAGAAATAAGTGTCCCTTGTGTCACAAGATATGCACGGGCCTGCTCCGATCTCTCATGTGGTCATGGATGTGCAGTACTGTTGAATTCCACACTAAGATTAGACAGCTGTCCAGTGACTCTGATTTCCATAGGTTCTCCAACTGCTGTCACTTCATGATGATATCGGCATAAAAATCGGTTGTATCCGTACGATTCCACAGTTGAAATTTGCATTGTATTCCACCATTTTGCTGCATCATTACATCAAGTTTATGAAACCTGAATTATAAAGTGAATACTAACTTAATTTTTTGAACAGTGAGGTGGGAAATTTCCACTTCGTGGTAACCGCAGCTCATTTGTTAAGCGTTTCCACATCCAAATAAGCGATAATCTTTCCAACAAAACTGGATACCTTAGGCTGCTTCTACCTCAGAGCTACTAACTAAAGAAGACCGTTACAGGATTTCATCATGAGCTGACATTGGTGAGAGAATCATTGGAAAACCTGGGAGTACTGGATAGCTGTTTCGTCAGCCTAGTTTGAGACCCTTCAGCGGTACGCACTCACCGGGTTTCGAAACCAGGACCTTCTGGTTACGAGGGACTCGATCCAATGGCCAGCCCATGAATTCTAACTTCTACCAATTCAAGACATGGCGCGACCACTAGCCGATGTCTTCGGCGAGTATTCATGCTTATAACCCCAGTCGCTTAGTGGTCTACTAGCTCGCTTCGTAATCAATAGGTCCTGGGTTCGAACCCCGTAGGGTGAATATGGTTGAAGAGTCCCAAACTAGGACAAAACATCTGTCCAGTACTCCAAGGTTTTCTAATGGTTCTCTAACCAATGTCAGCTCATCATGATGAAATCCTGTAACCAATCAACTCCCTACAAACCAACGCTTGAATAAAGAAGACCGTCTTTCTCGAGAATACATCCGATGTGCTATATGCTTATTTTTAAAATTAGCTATTGTTTGTCTCAAGGAAGAGAACAGATTAGTCTTTTTTCCATTCATGTGTGCTAAATTTTATATTTCCCTTCTTTTATAGTAACCTTTTACATATCCGTCAAGAGGACTTTAAACTGTGCCTAAAATCCAATGCCAGGAATGCAAACTACCACAGACACTATGACCGAAGAGACAAAAAGTGATGACAGCAGTCTATCATGCAATCTGATTATGCTGCGTTCTCGAGGAGAGAATTTACAATTCATTACAAAACTTAATCTATGGTATGTGCACATTGATCATTTTTTGTTTTACCTTTTAGGGGTTTAAAACTGAAAGATATTTCAATGGTAAAATCAATGCCAAATTTAAAAGTAGTTAACATGAGGTAATCACTGATGATCATTTAAAATAGTTTATTTTTACAGTGCAAATAGTTTGACCACTCTTGAACCATTTGTTAACTGTTTCAATTTATGCGAACTCTATGTACGTAATAATCAAATAGTGAATATTGATGAAGTGGCACATTTAAAGTATTTGCATAAACTTGAAAAATTATGGTTATCTGGAAATCCATGTTGTCATTTCTGTATGTTGTTGTTATTGTTAAATGTTTAATTATATTATTTCTAGTTAAAAGTTTCGAAGAGAATGATACAACTTCGACTGACAGTTCAATCGTGTACAGATGTACTGTGATTCGAAATTTACGGTGTTTAATTCATTTAGACCAATCAGGTGAGTCGAAAGGCAAACATTTGTTTTAATTATCCATTTTGTCTAATATTTAAATATGTTAGACTTCTCGCCTATTAAAATAATTCATCTACAGCTAGAGCACTATTTATATGTGTAAATTCTATTTAAAAAACAGGGCAACAAACAAACAGTAGTCTGGATAACGAATCAACTTTTAGCGATGTTCTGTTAACGACTATGTGTCTATTACCAGTTATTTTCAGACAAGAATTAGCAAAAAGGTGTTACGGGCTAAAAAAATGTCTATGTCTGGAGCATTTGTCTGTCAAATAACTTTTCTATTCTTATTTATTTGTTAGGCTGTGCAAATCTCGTGTCTAATGAAGTATGGAGAATTAGATGAAGATTTTCTTCTTGTGACTTTTGCATGCCTTCCTGGTAGAACTTAAAATTAATTTTGTCCAGTTTGTATGCTTAAGAAATAATCAGACGTGATATATACATTCATATTGATATATATATGTAAGGTTGTCTGGGGACTTGTCAACCTACAGTCTAGACAACACTAGAGAAGACTTTCTGGACATAAAAATGAGACGATGTGGAAATATACCTGCAGGAAATCATGCAGAACAGACAGATCACGAGATTTCAAATTGTCAGTTCCCCCTAGAGACAACCTCAAGTCTGCTCTTTTCACGGTTGTAGTGTCCGTATTATATTCAGCTCTTATGTATATTTATATATTCCAACCGAAAATAATTTAATCATGCAAAAATTGGCAGTTGAAACTAGGTGGAGCAGAAATTCTTTTATTTTCTAAAATATATTTTATTTAAACTGATAATTCAATCTAAATTCAAACCCAGGGATATGCTGAAATTTCTTTTTCATCTATTGTGAAAATGCATCTTGGTGAGACGGAATGTTTCTCTCGCTCAATAGTTTGACTTTAGCTGAAGACCGACTTCGTGTTTTGAAAAATTATGAATATGTACTTGATAAGTGACATTCTGTTATGCGGTACAAGAGTCAACCTTAATCATTTTTCAACTTCCTCACATATCTTCAAGAAAGAGAATCTCAGAGAACTTCTTTATTCTGTTATCACTGTTCAGTGTATTAGCCTCTCTGGCTTTATGAAAATTTACTAAGTAAACTGAATACTATTATTCGCCGGATAGTCAGAGATGCAATACTCGGTTTCAAATAAATCAATAAAGTAAAAGGTTCCAGCTGTTATGATTAGGTGTTACTTCTGTTGCAGGTGGCCATTAGTAGAATCTATTTAGCTCATTTCGTCTTATTTGGGGCTCATCACGTTGAAATGTCTGTTCGCCAAGGGAGTGACAACGTTCCCACTGTCGACATGTCATCTTTTCTTCGATTAAAAACTGAAATTAATTCTCTTTGGCTACTTATAAGTAGTAAGCTGAATTTATTCATAAATAAAGTCATAGATAATATACAAACCATTATGTGAATACTATTGACAGTATTAAACAACTTCAAATTCTGTTAGAATTCTTACTGTTTGGAACAGACCAACTAGATCTTGAATGACGCACACACGCGACTGAAGTATCGCGAAACAAAGAGAAAGAATAATAATTAGAGTATTTAATTGGTGGATGATGACTGGCAGTGGAATCCAGTATGCTCATTTCGTCCTATTTGGGACTCGTCACTGGACGTACCCGCATTCCCCATTGAGTGATGATGTTCCCACCAAGGCTCGAACCCAGTGCCCATAGTTTCCAACGTCAAAGCGTTGAAGTCATATGCTCATGTGTTTATCAGTAATCTTTCATCAGTAATATTCATGTAACAATTTAGCACTAACTCAATTTAGACTTGTTTTGCATTAAACAGTATTTATTCGCTCAGGGTCAAGTAGAGTTACACACTGCGTCTTGTTTTTAAGAAATCTCTAATTGGATAAGATTTTATTGTGATAAGTCACACAGTGTTACACAGTAATATTAACTGATGACGTTTCGAGCACAAATTATTGCCACTCAAATCATATCAAGTTACTCATGCGACTTTTTTCCTTCATTTATATACGTGGGTGGAATTGACTAGATATTTAAATAAAAATCACTATGAGATGATGTACATTCAGAAATAATAGTAATGTGAGTGTTATCGACCAATTAATTCAGATGGGAAATAAGACGAGTGATTTTAAAGTCATAATAAGTAACTTGTTAGAATGTTGTGATGTGTTTGACCTGAAATAGAATTTTAAGATTATTTATTATCCTCTTCTGATTTGACTGACTGGTTGTAATAAAATCTTCCATATTTCTGGTATTTGCATTGAGTCATTTCTGTTGCATGTGTTGGGTGTAGGATCAATGAACCAGGCAGGGTTCTGTAATCAATCTCTCCCTCCACCTACATAGATTACTTCTTAGTATCTTAACTCTCTCCCACATTATCGTGTGGTTGTTTGTTAATGCATGTAGTGCGATTGTTGAGCTTTTTTCTAAATTACTTATCTTCTTGGGGTCAACCATTCTCGCCTTAGCTAAATTCTTATGTTCCGACAATCTGATTACCCTCGATCTACTAGTTTGATCTATGTAGTTGACCTCACTCACAGTGATTGCAGGGTATTTTGTAAATTATATTATTTTGTTTAATTGGGTCCACCGGGTCTTTTAGCCTGCAGAGCTTGTCCTGCCTGAGTGAGTTTGTAGATTTGAATGCCACCTTAATTCCTGCTTGATTAAGAATTCTACGTAGGGCCTCAGATGTCCTCTCTTTATATGGTATAACAGCAGACGACTTATATTCTTTCTTATTTATGTTATCATTAATAGTTTTACAAGTATTTTTATTTTTCTTTTGGCCTTTTTTGATCTTCCTAATGAATTTCACAGGATAGCTATTTAACACCAAATATCTTGTCAATTCGACACATGTGTATAAATGAAGGAAAAAGTTGTGTGAGTAACTTGATATGATTATGAGCAGTAATAAATTGTGCTCGTAACGTGGTCATCAGTTAATATAACTGTATAACACTGTGTGATTTATCAAAATAAAATCGTATCCATAATGGAGTTATACTCTACCACAGTGCCCAAGTCTTATATTTATATGAATAAATCTCTAATTGGCGTGGTTAATTCTTCAAAATTCGGGAAACAAATGTTTTTAAAGCCAATTTCAAATGATTAGATTTGTAGTCAGTCAAGAAATGTCAATACTCAGTTTTCTTTTTCAAGTATTCCTTTCTGTTCTACAGTAAAAGTATATACGTTTGATGTAAGTTAGTTGAAAGCAGATGACATGAAGCCCTCGGCCTGGATTTTAAGCCTACTGACACTTCTCAGCATGGGTAATCCGCAAACTCGAAGAAACCAGTGTCTGCCAAGAGACTCAAATTCATATTACCACCAAACACGAAAGCTATTTCAAAGTCATTATTTCCAGTCGTTTAGTACCAATTTAAATTGTGTCGCGATGGCAATTCTTTTAATTTGGTGATTACATTGCAAGTTAGACTGGTAGAACTTACTCACCACCAATGCTAAGGTATAGACGCATCACATCAGTTACTCCATATTGTCAATTCACTGTACCCTATGTCTTCTCAGAAATTCAATGACTTTAAAAGCGGAGCGGTAATTAAATCAGACAGAGTTGTCACTCAATCTCAAAATCATTATTTTTGTGTTTATTCTGTTCAAAATACGTGATAAATTAAAACAACGAAGTTGTACTGTTTAATTTATACATTGTTACTTCATTAATGGTGTTTAAAGTGTAAGTTTAACGGTATTCCAACCCACAACATATTTTTTGGGTTGATAGTGACCAGCAGTGGAATGTAGCAGGCGAATTTCATCCCATTTGGAACTCGTCATCTGGATTCACCTACATTCCCCATTGAGTGATGCTGTTGCCAATAAGACTTGAATCCTGTACCCATCGTTTCAAAACATCAGAGCAGTTATCTACTAGACCACTAGGTGCACAAGGGCCATTGCATGTACATCCATACGAGGAGCCGATAAAGTAAACAGAGACTGATCATGTCGATGCAAAATAATCAATTAAACGGGGGAAATGCAAACCAAACCTGGGAGAAAACTATGTATTCTTAGTTAAACTTATTAAACTACAGTTTCATGCAATTCCTGAGGACCAATCTAGACAATGCAGAACAATAAAAGATATAAATAGTCTTATGTACTTCTAAAAATATCAAAGTTACTAGTTAATTAACCAGTTGTACAGGTGATATATATTAAGAAATACGTATTTTCTTGTGTAACATGGCTACATTCCTAATGATAGAGAATAATTATTCGAATCTCAAGGGAACACAACAGACTGAGCGAAGAAACATGCATTACTTTTCAGTTAGTTCCTCATCATTGCCTCACAAAAAGTCAATGGAATTATTTGGATATTTAGAGGAATTGTTGTCGTCATTCATACAGATCATCCGACCAGAATAAGCTGGATTCAGGAAAGGGAAATCATGTTCCGACCAAATTGTTACTCTACGCATCATCATCATCATCATCGAACAAAGCATGGAATGGCAATCAAACCTCTACCTTAACTTTATAGACTTTGAGAAGGTCTTCGACAGCGTTGACGGTGAAGTAATTTGGAAACTACTCAGTGCTACGGCGTACGGTGCCCAAATATTCATCAACCTTATTCAACATCTGTACGACAACGGCACATATCAAGTAATCCACAATGGAAAACTCAGAGAGGCGTTTGGAGCAAACACAGGAGTCAGACAAGGGTGCTTGTTATCACCAATGATATTCCTAATTGTGGTGGACTGGATTATGCGTCAGACAGTGGGAAACGAGCAGACAGGGATATCCTGGACCGACCGACGTGAAGAACCTAGAAGACCTGAATTTCGCACGTGGATGATTTATGTTTGATGTCACACAAAATCGAAGACTTACAAGCTAAAACCGACAAACTGTTCGAAGAAGCAGTCGGCGAAGACAGCGCTCCAAGTGAACATGGACAAGACGGAGGTTATGAAAATAACCAACCAACCAACAACAACAGCAGCAACATCCAGCGCCATTCACCATCAACGGGGGGATTTGAAAGAGGTTACTTCATTCACTTATCACTTATATAGGGAGCATTGTCTCAACTACAGGAAGTCGGAACGGACGAGGATGTCAAATCGAGCGAGAATCAGGAAGGCGAGAAACAAATTCATCAACCTGAAATCAATCCGGAAATCTTCGTCACTCAGCCAGCATCAACAACAAAATTCGGATTTTCAATACAAACGTCAAGTCAGTCATCTCTTCTATACGGATGAGAAACTTGGTGGGCGGGTCACAAAGAATATTTCCAAAAGGTTGCAGACGTTTATTAAGAACTGTCTTCGCTCAATACTGAAGATCAGATGGCCGGGCTGGAAAGAATCACCAACAAGAAACTATGGGAACAAACAAAACAAAAACCAATCACCAGCCAACAAATATGCAGGAGAAAATGGAGATGGACTGATTGGACACTCGCTGAGGAGGCCGCTGGGTGACATGGTGCGTCAGGCCATTGCTCGAGTAGAACGCGAAAGGGAAGCGCCGAGTTGGACGTCCAAGGGTGACATGGAGGAGATCGTGTGAAGAGGAGATGAAAGAGTACGGACTAACATGGATGCAGGTGAAAAGTAGAGCAGAAAACAGAAGCAAGTGCAGATGTACAGCTGATGCCCTATGTTCCACTAGGAACCCAAGGGAACAATAATAATAATAATAAGTTGGTCATGGCAAAGAAAGGGGCTGTAAAACTTCTTGGCTTGTTCAGATGAATTTGGATTGCTTCTGCTGTATGTAAAAGTCGTACTCGTAAACCATGCGAGAGGTATGGTGATATACGAAAAATAACACTAAGAGCTTTGTTAGAGTCAGCTTGATGTTCAGCCACTATCGACGAGATGAGGTATTATTGAACTGCGTATAGCTTTATTCTGACCTTTGCCAAACCGAGATGGGGGGAGGTATTCAGAAATTCGACGGAGAACTTACCCAATCGTACTTCCATTGTAACTAGCTCTACATGAGTAGTTAAACTTGTAGCTACACATTGAGGAGGCGAAACAGGGTAGTTTGTCTCCATTTCTTGAACTCATTATTGGTTGGCTACTGAATATACAGCATAACTTAGCTGCGATTAAGTCCTTTTCATAGAAAAACACAGTCTTCTGATTGGTTGTATCTCACAGAAAGTTAACCTTGCATCTCTTCGTGGCTGTTTCTTGAATGTCAGATCATCTTTATGTCAACTGTATCCGCCTACACAAAGTCTTCGTTCTCGTTTTTCTCACGACCAATATTGGGGACATAAACATTGACGTAAATAACTGTCCACCAATTTTGACTAATAGCCAGCTCTCACCACAAAATAACCACTTGACTGGTAAAATTTTGATGTAAGAAACTATATACTAGTGTAGAGCCAATGATGTGGAACTAATTGAAAAGGAATGCATATTTCTTCACTCAATCTGTTGTTTTATCTCAATGCACGAATAAGGATAACACTAGTCAGTCACGCCTCACGTGGTTTGAGGTTTGATACATGGCCGATGCATTCTTAAACCTCACCAAGCTGGTATTTAGATCAGTAAAGAGGGAAGGTTAAGCGTGGGGCTGGCAATCCCACACCATAAAAATAAAACCACTGCTACCAAAAATTCAAAGGTCCAACTTGAAGCCTTATGTTCTACGCGATATATAGAGGGATGGAATACTAATAAATTAAATAAAATGTCAGAATAGTTGGAGTGTCTTTGAGTGTGTTGTAATGAAAACAAAACAAGCAATCCAGCGAAGAGACTCTTCTCCGTGGCGAATTCATTTTCCCCTTTAGAGCTGTATAATCGCATTTATATACAATCTGTTTTACTTGAAAACAGTCAGAGATAAAAGTGATGAGTTGTCATAAACGTAACTGTTAGTATTAGTCAGTGCATAAAAGAAGTTGAATAACTGTGTTAGAGTTATGTAATAAAATCAAGTCAGTAAAAATGAACACGGTTGTACCATAATGGTAGAAATGGCTGAATAATTCTCTTTCGTATGCATAGCTACGGATTTTCTAAGTGAAGGATCAAGACTGCAGCAGTTTTTTGCACAAAGTAACATTAACACATTTGTTTATGAAAACTCATCACTTTTGTTGCTGACCGTTTTCAAGAAAAGGAGACTGTATATAAATGTGATTGTATAGCTCTAAAGGGGAAGATAAATTCGCTGTGGAAAAGAGCCCCTTCGTCGGAATACGTGTTTTGTTTTCACTAATAACTTTCCTAGACTATACGTCTACTTTTGATGCTGTACCTAGGGCCTTTTATTAAATAAGCTTTCGTTGACGCAAACAGGATCCTGGGCTAAGAGTTGGTTGTATTCTTATTTTTCTGATAGAATGCAGTATACTGTATATAATGGCAAATCTTCTTCTGCCTCGCTTACAAAAGCCGGTGTTCTTCAAGATGTCGTCCTCTCTTCTTTTCTTTTTTCTTTCTTCCTACACGACTTGCCTCATTTAAACGAAACTAAATTTGCCAAATATGCAGATGATCTGACTGTATCACTGCCTATCACTTCCGAGTATGACTGCTCAAACTTAATAACTTTCTGTTGGACATCAATCAGCAAGTGGTCTAAGTCAAATGGTCTTATGTTAAATCCTTCCAAATGTCAGGCAGTTAACTTTACTTTCAAGCATCGACGTGACTTACATGAACTAGTTAGTTCCATGACGCCTGTAGCATAGATGGCACGAAGTTGAAACCAAGTCAAGCATTAAATACCTTGGATTAGTTCTTTCCTCTGACCTTTCATGGTTATCCCATATCTTATCGATGTCTAAGAAAATGTTTCATCCTACCTTCTACATTAAAAAATTAAGACAATCAGGTATCGAGCAATCTTTACTTCTGCAGTTTGTAAACTCCTGTATTTTACCTATTGTACTCTATTGCTCTCCGTTAATCTTTCCTGGGCTTCTCAAAACAGACTATATCACATTACGAAGGGTATTAAATGCTGTGAGTAGGGCTTGTGGTATGCTACTGCGTGAGCTCGCCTATATTATATTCCAGAGACATATAACATCCTGTACAAAATGGGCAGAGGCCGTACTGTCAGACCCCCTGCACCGCTCCCCTTTATTCACAACTACTTCTTGCATATCATCGGGTAGGACGAGAAGTCAATATAAGAAGTTATATGCTCGAACCAATAAGTACAAAAATTCTACAATACCGTATCTAGCCCATATTTGATTTGATGAAGACACTGTTAGACGTGAAACATATAATTAGCAAAGTGAATCGACGCTTTCATCGTTCATCTTTCTGTAATTTTATGCGGTCACCCTTTCTATCGTTCAATTATAGCTTAGCTATTTTATTGTAGTTGTTGTTACTTTTATTACTACAATTTTATCCCCTATGCATATTTTTCTCCTTATCGCATACTGTAATTAGGTATACAGCTGCTACAACAACGTTTTGTGATTATTATTATTATGTAATGTTTATTTTTTTGTCGTATTGAGTAAATTAGATGCAATACTGTACTGAATGCTAAAAATTCTTTGCTGTATCATTAGTACTGTTTTTGGAATGAAGCAAAATTATTATTATTATTATTATTATTATAGGGTTTATTCATGTATCTTGTAGTGGATGCGTGAACTGTCTGTCAGTTTGACATTACCGCATGCCTATACTCTTTACATTAATATAAGCTGTCGAATGAAGAGTATTAATTATCTGCTTTAATATTTATCTACGTGTTACTTTCATTTTAGCTGTCACATCGATGAACGCGAACTCTCTGAAACTCATGGTGTCCTGCTTACAGCACCGCCACCACCACCATCACTACCACCGAGTTCCTCTTCATCGGCTGTTTCATCTCGGTGTCAGTCAGCGAGTTCAGAAAACACGCTTAATAATAATATAATGATAATACTAGTAATTATCACAACAATTGTAATGATGGTGAAGAATCCAACAGTACACATACAGTTGTTGATGATATCACGTTAAGTACAGATGTAGAAATGAAAAAATTAGACATTGTAGCAGGTAAGTATTCAGTCACTTCTGTACTCTTCATTCAATCAGACAAGAAACACATTCCAGACGAAACGCTAAAGAATGACAACAACAATATTAATAATGTCTTAAAAGAAGTAAGTTGAATACTATTCATTTTTGTTATCCTTATTATTATTATTATCATCATCATCACGGAATTCCTACATATTTTCTCCTTAACTATTTTATAATGTCACATTGATTTAGATAGTTTGCAATGATGACGATCAATACATTCCCATCTAAAAATAGTAAAAAGATGGCGATTTTTTTCATTTCAACTGTCCAATTTTATGAAATATTTTAGTCACATATTATTGTTTTAGTGCATTTCCTATTTTGAAATAATTTGGTGGATTGTGACTAGCAGTGGTGGAATCTAATATGCGTATTTCGTCCTATTTGGGATTGAATCATCAGCTGGATATACTCGCATTCTCCAGTGAGCGAGTGATGGTGTTCCCCGAGCTGAAGCTCGAACCCAATACTCATCGTTTCAAAATGCAAAGTGGGTTTTCCGCTAGACCACTTGAACCACGAGAGCCACCGCCTCTTCCACAACGGGTGTTAGTTATTATTTAATTCATTTTGAATATTACCGTTGACTGACTAGACCAGATTGTTGAAACGATGGGTACTAGGTTCGAGCCTCAGTGTGAAGAACACCATTCCTCACTCACTGGAGAATGCAAGTACATACAGACGACGAGTTAGTCCCAAATGGTAGGGGAATGTGCTTCCCGGATTCCATTGCTAGTCACCATCGACCAAATCACTTCAGGTTAAGTAATCAGACATCTCTGACTTGTCAATCTGAGGCCAAACAGTTAGGTTCACTCAATCAACAGGAAAATCTAAACTGTGTTAAAAGCCTCCTATTTGGTTTTAAGCAGCCTTTAACTTTTACACATTACTAGCAGATAAAGTGACCGCCGCATTCAAAGTATTCACTAATAATACACAAGTGTACCATGATGTCAAGTCTCCTGCTTATCCGGTGACCATCTGTTACAAACACTCAGGACTTGAGATACTATACTGGTTACCATACAGTGAAAATCCTACAACAGGTTAACCATCAGTCCGAATACCCCAGTGGTGACGTCTCTAGCTGAAGGCCTCAGAGAGGTGGACACTTCCTTCGAGGCTGCGAATATACATCTTGCTAACGAGTGCTAACAAGTACGAAGTCCAGGCTCGAGGGCTTCCTGCTGGTTACCTAAAACCATCTAACAATTGCTGAAAGGTACACTGCGATAAGCAGTCTCTCTTTGATTAGTAATCACATTAAAAACTTGACTGGTAGAATTCACTAAGCACCAACACTATGGATTACAAATTCAATCGGCGATGGTGAGAGTAAATAATAGATTCCACAGCCAAATGACCTTGAACCGACCAATCAAATCCCTTGGCATTACAAATGGATGCTTTTTATAATCTTCGTTGCAGATTTCACCTTGATTTGTTTTTTTGACTTCTGTGTGGAAGATGGATTGATAGGAAGGACTAAAACATGAATATGTGATGACATAATGATTCTTCAGAAGTATTGCCAGGCTAGTAATGATTTTGTATACAGATGCAATGGACGTTATATCAGGAAGTCTGTGACAGTTGGTCGTTGTACTTTATAGTAATATTTTAGAAACTTTCTCGAAATCGAAACTCTACCTTACTAAAATGTTGTGTGAGAGTCACAACTGGCTACTGAGACGACCAGTATCTGACTTTTTTTGTTCCTTCACGTTCCCCAGTGGAACATAGGGCTTCAAGCTAGTGACTTGAAGTTTCTTTAGCAGTGTTTATTATGTTGCAGGTTGGGGTTGCTAGCCTCATACCCAACCTTTCCTCCTTACCAGCGTTATTTCTGGTTTAGCGAGGTAAAGGAGTGCGTCGGCCGGGGATCGAACCCCGGACCATGTGCATGGTCGGCAAGCGTCCTAACTGCTATGCTACCTACGCACAGTATGTGATGCAGCAGCGGAAACAGAGAATACTTAAATGTCAAAAGCGCAGTGGGTGGCATCAGCACTGTCAGGATACCGCCTCACAAAAGATCAATGGAATTATTTGGATATTTGGGCTAATTGGTATCGTCATTTATACTGATGAAACAGTACTTATTAAGTGACAAATGAATCGTGGTAGGAGAAGAACTAACCATGTTTCAGTGCTGGAATTGTACTATACCAATCTTCGAGAAGGGTTAGCAGAAGGCATTCCAAACAGAAATGTAGATATTTTGATATCAATAAAACTAGTCCTCACAGGTAGTACCATACACACAGACAAGTGGTGAGGTTATTCGCAACTATCATCATTCGGCTACATTTATCATAGAGTTAACTATTCTTCCGATTAGTGAATCGTATAATTAGCACATATTATGGTTTAAAATGCCAAAGTGTTATCCAAGAATAACTTAAATTTAATTCAAGTTTCAATTTTCATTATAGCTTGATTCCACACAGTATTTTGGTACAAGCATGGAATTTTCAGCATATGATATCGGCAGCCCAAATTTATCAGGCCGCCATTGATATCAGGTGTGTGTCGGCTGGGGATCGAACCCCGGACCATGTGTTTGGTCGGTGAGCGTCCTAACCACTGTGCCACCGACGCAAAGCACGTTGTGTTGTCATTTTCAGACAAATTACTGAAAGCCTCTGAACATTGATTACTGGTTGTAGTAATTTATCTCCTTCTTTGCCGCATTGCTAATCCCATTCGAGCTTTTCAGTAGAGAAGGATTTTATTTCAGCATGACCGATAAACGATCACTGAAAGAGAACCATTGGAAATCACGAAGTATTGGATAGTTGTTCCATCCTGATCTGGGAATCTTCAGCAGTGCTCATTCACTACCCTACCGGTAGTCGTACCCAGGGTTACGCGGTGAAATCACAACATCCCTCTGAAATCTGTGTGCATATCAACAGCACTTAGTAAAAGGAGTGCATCCAAATTTTGAGCACTGAGGTCAAATCAATGCTTCTATAGTGTTAAAAGATAAGGCACGAGCGTTAGCAAAAGCATCAGAAACACCTGCTGCAGGCGTCCATGAACACTTGCCATATTCGCTCAATACTGAAGATCAGGTGGCCAAAAACAGAAAGAATCAAGAACAAAGTACTCTAGCAACAAACCAGCTAACAGCCTACTAACCAACCATCAGACCCTCGAGTGCAATTTAGAAAAGAAACGAAGAGTTGGTTGTTCGAGGGTGACATGAAGGAGATCAAGTGAAGAAAATAATGCTAGCTTATGTGCATTCTTAGGGCTAAATAAAAAGAGACAGCAGAGCATAGAGTGAAACAGAGATGTGCTCCTCAATTCCTATATTTCACTGAGAGTCTCAGGAAAGAATAATAAAATAATAATGATTTTGGGATTAGAAGTGAAGTATTAGGTATGGGGGGGTGGGGACAAGTCAGTCGGTGAGGTTGTGAAGTTGCATCGATCGATATGGTCAGGACATGTAATATGCATGTGAAGCTAGTGGTTTGAAATGGAGGTAACGAAGGTCAGTAGGAAAGAAAGACAAATAAGTCCATAAAGTTTTCGTCTGTTAATTTCAGGTATGCAGAGAGATATAGACTGTCCAGGATACCAAGAATTAATGGTCGGAGACTATTTTTGTGACACTGGCCAACATTGTTGCTAATAGCGCCAGATGTATTCATTACTCAGTTTGACATCTCAGATTCTGAATATCCTCCTTACTGTCCATCGAATTGTTCCTCCTTGCGTTCATCTTCATCAGTTAACGTTTCATTGTACTTTCCTTCTCAAACTTTATCTATACTTTCATGAAATATAGCAATTTGAGTTACTGCACCTTTGTACAGTCCATCGGTGATTCAGCGATAAAACGCTTGCCAACCATATGCTACACATAGTCCAGGTTTTGATTCCCGACTGGTGCACACACTTCTCTACCTCTCTTAGCCACTTATATGTCTGACAGGTTGGGTGGGGGGGGACTAGCAACCCCATCTCGTAAAAAATAAAAAATCAAACATCCCTGCAACTGAAACCACCAAGCTCTCACTTGATGCCCTACGTGTTCTACTAGTAACGCAAAAGAGTAAAATCAATAACTTATGCACAGCTTTCTAAGTTGATAACTCACTTCAATCCTTTGGCTGTTTCACTTCACTTATTTCTGAATATGTAAATGATTTCGCCAAAAAGAAAAGAAAGAAAAAGTTATTAGTACCTTAGTGCAAAAATATCTCTCAAGAGTGCGTTTATGTGTCAGAAAAAACACGTTTATTTCACCTAATAAGTAAAAGTTGACAGAAATCTCTCTGCATCTTTCGTTTTTATAAAATATAAACGAAAATGGAATTGAATTAACAAAGAAAAAAAAACATACGACTAATTTGTATAAAGCAGAATTAGAAAATAAAATATTCTGATTAAAACAACCGCAGCAGCAGCAACAACAACAAAAAGTATCATTTAGTAAAAAAAAAAAACATATGATTACTTGAAAAATGAACGTGCACTGAAATATTTATTGAATAGCGTGTTGAAATACTACTACCTACAGTGTTAATTTAAATTGAAGATAAAAATAGATATTTGCTATTCAAGTATTGGTTTTTAGGGATTTAGTTGATTGGTTACAGGATTTCATCATAAGCTGATATTGATTAGGAGGTTGAGCAATATCGTGAATTGGCAGAAGTTAGAATTCATGGGTTGGCCATTGGATCGACTCTCAACGGCTTAATGGTCTACGAGTTCGCCAGCCTTGTAACCAGAAAGTCGTGGGTTCGAACTTCAGTGGATGAGTACCGATGAAGAGGCCAAATTAGGACGAAACGGCTGTCCAGTACTCCCAGCTGATTTTCCAATGGTTCTCTAACCAATGTCAGCTCATGATGAAATCCTGTAACCAATAGCTACTTGCTTTGTAGGCTTTATTATAGATTATATGAAATTGAGCATACTAATGATCACTAGATTCTAGCCAAGGTTGTTGATTTCATTTTGTTTATGGTTTTGATCTTGGCGTTGATATAAATCTGAACTATTAGATGGTTGGAGGCAATCGGCCACAGGAAGCCTTGGACCTAGGTTTCGT